TCCCTGATGCGTTATGATTATGTCGGGAGGAGAAAGTGGTTGACAATAATGGAATAATAACATCACGTCGACGACCAGCTCGGAGCCTCCCCTGCGACTCTGCGAGGGAGTGAAGACTTTCTCCAACAAACACTCGAAATATGGAAATTTAATGCATTGAGCAATTGCAGTTATTGCATCTACATCAAAGCACTTTGTCCTTGTAGTCAGCTCCCACTCCCACGAAGGACCATCACCATTACTTACAGCACATGATGGAGATTGTTCCTCACTAAATGGGAATATCAACGGCAGCAGGGGAAGAAAGCATACGATTTCTTCGAGGAGAATCAAACAGCAACAGCCAGCTTGTTGAAATGGTTGAATTTCTTAAATGTCCCATTTTTTCATCTCCCTCTCGTTCGTTATTCTGTTACACAAGTGCTTTGAGAGCACTGCTTTCTCACAAACTCAAACAGAATGTCAACAAAAAATCCATCCAGCTTTCAGATTTCTTCACTTTCAGACTCGCTTTGCTCCCATAACACGAGTTCCAAGTACGACGTACGACAGCTGCAACTTTATGGCTGCGTTTTGATTCCTTCGCAAATGTTTCAAATTCGCAAATACCTTATGCAAATATTTGATTACGTAAGGTTTGGATTGCGATAAATGTGGATGAACTGGCCAAGCGGTATGAACGTCTCCTTCTCTTTGGAAAGTTGTCAGTGTGTCATCAATGTCGGGTTATCAACAACATTACCTTACTTGCCAATGGTCGTAACTAGATATTTATGCACTGTCGCTGTCATAATCGACACGTGTACAAGCTTTGGATTTTACCTTTACAGTACTCGCCCATAAGTTATTAAATTCATCCGAAACATTTTCCTCAGCTATATTTGTTCCTTCGAAGAACATTTTATATTTTACTAGAGTACAAAGTGCATTTGATTCACACTATTTACACAATCGAAGAAAAACTACTAGGAAAATTTTAAAAAATACACCGGTGCGGTTTTCAAGGTCGGAAAACAAGATTAATTTAATCCGAGTAACTTTTTTTCTCCTCCAGAAAGTTTTCTGTGGTCCAGAAAAGGAGAACATGGCTGAGGGCAAACAAGTACGTGCGTGCAGAGCATGGTTCTTGTCATCCAGCCATTTCAGGGCGAGAATTAATAGCCTTTGTCCCAATATTTCGGAGCCCTGGCCAAGAGCGATTGAGAGAAAGGTGGATTTGAGTTTCATTTCGTTCCGGCATGTGGGAAATTGACAGATGAACCGACTCTCAACCTCACCACCACTTTCTCTCCTAATCCAATAACCCGTCTCCGCACGCCGTCAACCTCCTCGCCTTCCGCTGGACGAGATAAATTAAGACGTTTCCCCCAACTGCAACTTGTGGTCCGCTTTCTCACCCTCATCATCGCTTCATTCTCTCTCACTCGGGATTTCATCATCAAATAACGCAATCGCTGATCTATTCTTCCTCCTCCTCGCAAGTCAGTAGCAGCGTCAGGGGAATTGACAAGAGAGACGGACAGCGAAGGCCAACAAGGTTTGGCTTTGTTTTCCCCTTTCTCCTTGAAACTCGCGTCACTTCCCTTCCTCTCGCTGTCAGATAAAATTATGAAGTTGCTGAGCTGAACCCATTAGAAAACTCTTCATCATTTAACCTGAGCAGATTGGCCATCTAATGTCCCTGACATTTCCAGAGAGAGAGCGAGCGAGGAAGGATTTAATGTCATTAACATCAACATCAGGGTGATGCGGAAGAGGGAAAGCAAGCATCTTGATCGTCGTTGAGGTGAACTGGGTGGACTTCTCTCTGGGCATTCTGGACGTCAGTCAGACTGAGCTGGAAGTAATTGGGAAGATGTGCTCCATCCTACGACCAGGTTCACGAGAAGATGATTTTCGCTACTTGGCTGCATGCGGGGTTTGGTGACGCGTGTGAGTGAGGATTATTCGTTTCGAGAAGATTTGGACGCAACATCTGCTGCTTCACCATCCAAGTTGGCATATTTGATTGTTGGCCATAGGAGGAGGAGAGGAGTGGAAGCACATAGCAGTGAGAGTGGCCAGGGAAATTCCGAGCTTTACTCACTTGGACAAAGTTAGAGGAGAGTTAGTTGAGAGAGAGAAAGTCCTGGTGAAAGTGTTGCTGACATTCTCAATTTGAATCAATTATGCATCAGCATCCACAAAACAGTTAACATAACCGCCACGTGGATGGCTGAGACGGCATCACAACGAACCACCTCCACTCACTCGGAGATCTCGATGTACGCAGTGTGCATATCCAATCCACCCAATTCGCATTCGTGTATTTGCATTCCTTCTACTCCGACCATCTCGTCACTGACTTTCTTCCCCATTTCCAACACGTGAGGCATATCGAGGATGACACTGGGTGGCAATTAATTCAGTCAAAGACTGCGGAGATAAACCTGGTCGTCGCGTTGTTGTCCAACCTTCAACTCAACGAAATGAAGGTTGTCATCTTGTGCTAAAACAATGTCCCGAATGGCCACAATAACTCAACATTGCTCCATTAATTAGAACCTGGTCGTATCATCGGCCTAATTCCGATGGCACCAACAAAGAGTTCGGACCGTTGAGCGTGAAATTTGGCACACTTTTATATGCATGCATACCGAGCCACTAATAATGCCTGGGCGGCCATGGGAGCCGTCCACCTGTGAGGTGAGGTAACGGGGAATTAATTTCAATTCATGGTCCTGAGAAGGCTCCACACAAAACCAAGTCATTAGCAGAATGAATATGGGGCATAAATTTTAATGAATCTTTTGTACTTTTATCTTTATCGTGGAAATTAAAATTAATGAGCGCTTTCTGGCCTGACAGAATTTCATTAGCTTTTCAGGCGGATTGACGTGGACATGGTGGATTTATCTCCCGGTTGTTGTTGACGGGCCGTTACGTGCATGTTTTTAGTCCAAATAGAGGACCAAGCTGGTTTTATTTGATGGCCATCTCAACCAAATACAATTTTCGGAGCCATGAGCTACATATTTACGAGTTACTCCAATCAATATTTGAATATTTGGTGTGATAAAATGCGGAATATTCTTGTCGGATTTTAATTTAATCAAGTTTAAGTCAATGATTTGAGACGGACAGTTTGTGGCATTCGATCCGGATTAATTGTGACTTTGTTATGCGGCGCAGTTTGAATCCAGAGAGCGACGAGTCCAATTTTTGGGCACACCTCTAATGAGTAGTTTCTGCAATCAGTAGAATTCGTAATCAAACCATGTTTGCTGGCGGTTGGTCTTGTTTGTAGTCAATTGTCGGTGAAGGCAAGCAGTAAATCAGTTGTGTGCATAGGTACTCACTCACTCACTCACTGATGATGAATAATTTGGGTTCGGAAACGTAAGACAAATTTCATAAAAATTATACATGCTCCACTTCCTTCGTTGGTATCATATGTAAAGTTGCAAATCAGGTTTATGTACGCGATTAAAATTATGCAAATTGAGAATTTGTATGGAAAGCATTGGGAAGAAGAGAGATTTATTTTGTGCATTCATTCACTTGCTGCTGCATTTTCTATATTTATGTCAAAAATATGAGACAAAGGTAATAAATAATAATCAGAGCAACTTTTTGCTCTCCGCCGCTGTATGCCCTCCCGAAATTCACCTCGCTTGTCAAGCCTCGTGTTAATATGCAAATAAAAATTACCTCGCAAATCACTCTCTATAGCTTCACTACACCTTGTTCTTGTTCTTGTCTGTCAGGCCGTGAATTCTTATTGTTGGCTCCGGGCACTTGCTACCTAATTTATTGGGCATCATTTCACCCAAGAGCCAAAACCTGTCCCTCCATTACTTATTCCCATCTCACAATCAACCTGTGTCCTACAATATGCACGGATGGTTTGAGGGGCAAAACGATTTACAGTCCAGACAAACCTCTGTAACGAATTGAATCAGTCAAAAAATTGATTAGCGGACCAACTTTGAGCTGACAAGGTTCACGAGTAATGAATCCGATCGGTGCATGTATTGCGACTCAACTAAACGAATTATCCTTAAAAATGCGATGCTACAGAAGAAGGTGCTGTGTGGGGGAGGATTGTGTCTCCACTTTGAGTTATCATGTCGTCTTGTGCAGTAGTTGCTACCTGATTGCCACAAATGCTTCTCTACGCGCGAACCCTGTGGACGCATACACACAACTCATTAACGCTTTTAATGGTAACCAAATACATATTAAGTCAGTGCCAGACTGCTCTTCTGCCGTGTGGGGCTACGTGTATGCAGGCTTTGATCTTGATCATGCTCGCTGGAAATGGTGCCTGTAAATCTCATTATGTTCCAACACTGAGTGAGCACCTTTGCTAATTAGAGCCAAAGGTCACTCTCTCTCTGTCTAAACCAAGATCAATCCTTTTTGAAGTCATGCTGTAGCCAGTTGTTTCTAAATAATATAATCTGCTGCGATTATCTCCTCATGCACACAAGAGCCCACCTATTTGCATATGTGCACAGCATTGCCATGCACTGGATGGCCACGTAATTATATACAGATTCCATCATTTTATAAATAAACTCGATCAATATTCAGGCGGATTGACGTTGCTGCTGGCTTTTCGACGCCGTCTTTGATTATCATCATTTAGTGGTGTGGGTTTCACTGATTATATTTTCAATGCTGAACACCAACTCTGCCTGCTGCATAAATAATACTATTTACCAAGAGGCAAGAAGTGAGAAAGTGGTTGGCAACTAAATGAAATGCAAGCTGTTGCTGATAAACGCTGTGCATCTCACTCAGCGGAGAAGAGAAGAAGAACGGCGACAACGGGTATCCATTGATTGATTGATGCGAAGATGACGCATCCCACTTTTACCAAGATTTGCTTATTTGCTAATGCACCCATTGATTATGGGCAGGATTGCGTGTAGGAGTTTAGTGTTGAGATGGATTAAGTGACGATTAAAACCCTTGCAGAGTTTAAGTGTGAGATCAATAAGGAGATGGATGGAGTTCCTGATTAGAGACTTGTTAAGCTGGGAAGCCTAACTCCGTCGTCGTGGCAGATGTGCGGAGACTGTGGGAGCGATTGATTGAGCCAGATTTGAGATGGAACTGCCAAAAGGCGATGATAACGATCTGTGACTTTGCAGATTAGCAGAGGCAGGGACTTTGGTATGCCTACTATTACATAGCCATGCATAACCACAAATCCTGTCTCTGCTGACAATTGACAATCGACTTTTCTTGTTTTCTTAATGGACACTGCCAAAAATTTGCGCAGTTCTGAGCACAACATTATTAAGCAGAGTCGGAGCTGACGAGAGGTGGTTGGTTGGATGGATGGATGGATGATTATATCGCATTAATCCAATCAGTAAATAATCCGGTTTGACTAACTACTCCTGGTTAACAAGAGAGATTACGCCTTGTAATTGAGCCGGATTCAGTGTCTTTTTTGGTGCGCATTCTTTAATGAGTTGCCAAAAACTAGAAACCTTTACGAAATGGCATATTAATTGAATGATTTTCTTGTTTTTTTTAGGTATGTACTTCATCATCCAGCTTCTCTCCTCACCTGAGGACACCGCTGCTTCCTACAACGCTACCTGATCCGATGGTGGTAAATTCTGTTGTTGTCTGGATGGATGTTTGGTATTTCTCTCTTTTCTAAGTTTAGGAGGGAGGATTTGTGCGCCTCCCACACGGGCAGAAATACGGGCAGAGGAGACACTGCACAAATACGCAGATTGGCATCTGACAACTGTCAGAAATGACGTTTGCAATTTTATCCAGCTTAAAGTTTCTTTACATGAAACTCGAGTTGTTTGACTAACCTGACCTTCAACTAAATTGTTTTTGGCCAAGTTAATTTGCAAATGGCAATCCCTTGCATGTCATCCGTATGTATGTATAAATATGTACATACATACATACTTGACTGCAGCCTGAAATAACATTCGTCCTGCATATGCAATCCCACATAAAATCTGCGCTTCTGATACGCTTCGTTCCTTCCTTGAAATGGAGGTAAACAGGACAGAAAATTCCTTCTTGACATCGTTCACAAAGTTAATACTCTTGCCATTTGGTGTTTACATTGGACGGGATGCAGGCGAGGCAACAAAGATGATCGGATTCCACTAAAAATAATGGGATCAGATGCAGTGTCAGTTATGGAGCTCCTGTCCCACACATGTCTTCTCTTGGAAGTTGGTCCAGCAGGAGAGACGACGGTGCAGTTATCTTTATTGCCATCCACGGAGGAGGAGATGTGGAGCAAATCTCCGAGAAAACCTTGGGAAAGCATCCAAAACAAAACATTGAAGAAAGCAATGTGTGCGGGGGCTCACGTTTATCGCAACGCAAAGTTTTCGTTGCACTTGTTTGTTTATTATGCTAACACAAATTTCTGCACTCAAACACCCACAACTTTTAACTTTGTATCTGTCATAACACACAAAACTAATAAAATGTTGAAGGATTTTGACATAAATTGAATGGCATTTCCTGCCCCGTCCAAGGTTTACGATTTCCTCCCCATCATCCGTATGCACGTACATAGATACGTGGAGTATGTGGAGGCGACCAATAAGTTGAAACTTATTGCAAAGCTTATGTATGTACATAGCTGCATACAAGTCACTGGGGTCCTGTGCACATAATTCCCCTCCTGTCGATAAACGCAGCTTGTTGAGGGATGTGTCATGTCGGGTTGTTAATAGGTTCCTGCCAACCAACTCATTCGCTATGCCAATCTGTATCTAGCTCACATTTCACCGAGTGGCGTTGGCGTTGTTGACTTTGCTTTATTTTTTTACCATTTTTCAACTTTACCCCCGCTTGTTTTTTGTTCAGGCCGCAACATGAACTCCATTCCTGCATTATGTGCATGAATACATAAAAGTTATGGAAATTGAATAGTGCACAAAGCAGCACTTTGTGTGAAGCAGGCAAAGCGAATTTGCACAAAATTTTGCGGGATTAATTCAACGCGAATGTATGATGTAGCTGAGCCAGTATTCAAATACGTGCTGACTTGGGAACAATGGGTTCCGTCCGTATTTCGTATGGATGGATGGATAGATTGTTACTTTGTAAACTGTAAATTAGGATAAGGATCAGAGTGTCAGATTCAGTCAGCGTGGACAAGGTAATTTCTCCATGGCTGGTTTTGTTCTGTGGGCAGGGCGGGTCACAGGTTATTCAGTTTGGCATCCATTCTCCCCCTAAATTGAATTATATCGAACAAAGGACAAGCTACAAAATGTGGGATTTGTCGACGAGGGGAGCACCCATTCATCAACCAGGTTATTATTCGCAACAACTGCACAATGGGCTGAATGGGGCGACGGTGATAAATATTTTGGCAATGCCGGTTCTTCTTCTTCTCGTAATAATAATCTGCCATCACATGGACTCGAGTCGGCGTAATTTATCTGCCTGTACGCGTAGTTGGGGGATGATGAACGGCAAAGGATCTCTGGTGGTGACTCCCACCTCCATTTGTACCTTTATATAAAATTTAATAAACCATGCATCAAAATCAACATTGAGCTTTTGTCTGCCATTTAGTTTGACATTTCTCATTTGGCACTCGCACTTTGGATAATGGGCTGTGGGCGGCCACCAAAAACATTCCATTGTTTGCAATAATATTGCGAATTTCAAAAGGTTAATATGTTAAAATGCAAATTGCCTCTTTTGGACTTGCTAATTTATTTTCATAATTTTTGCATAAAAAATGAAAGCCAACATGAAAGATTGTTGTTTTTTCTTGCGTGTGAGTACATATCTACGACTGGATAATGTAGATTCTGTGGGTTCTTTCTTGGCAATGCGTACACAGACAACAACTTGTTGGCATTCTTGCCATTTATTATTGGTATTCATGCGAGAATTGAATTGGAATGGGGGAGCCAGGGGCAGTTCAATTTGAATTTAAATTGCTTTGCTGTTTGGCCAAAATTGAAATAAATTGGCAGTCTGTCAATCACTCGAGTCACCATTTGTAACTTCCCTCACTCCTAAGTTCTTCTCCATCCTTGCCACTCTCTGCTAAATGGGACATAATTTAATAACCTGTGGTCAACTATGGCAAATAACCACTCATCAACCACGATGTACATATTGCACCGCATTCGTCTCGCGAGTGGGGGCGGTCATTATTATCCCATTGTTGATGAGCTTGTATTCAATACGAAAACTAAATAGTCGACCAGAGATGAATCTGGAAATGAAAACTACTAAATCGAATTCAAATGGACAAAATATTTTGTACTTTATTCTATTGAGCGACAGTTAATTATTTGTATGAATTGACATCTTGATCATCATAGCACAGAGATGACGAGTTTTCCACTTGAGCAACTCCTAAGCCCGCAAGATATGTTTATTATCTCATTTAGAATTAGATCATCATCAGCCAGAGCAATTATCTTGGAGATAATTAATGTTACATGTGTCGTGCACATGTAACAAAGGGGTTTTGAATTATTGGCATAAGCATTCCACAAAAGTCGTCAGAGTTTTATTAGCGTTGGGCTGGAGGATGAGACACCAGTCACTCCCATACGTTCGACTGCTGCTTCTTCTTCTTCTTGGTCGTCCCATGAATGAAAAAGCTGGGCAGAGTCGCATCATCATAAATTAGTCATCTCATCTCAATCCGTTTTTTTATCTGGTGGAAGTGGTTTTGTCTGCACTGGGTTTGCTCAGGGCTAAGCCTGCTGCATTCGTAGGTACGTATTTACGTACGTACTGAGTAAGAGCGAGCTATAAATAATGTTTCTGACTCTTTGCTTATCTTGGGTATTTGTGTTTCCCATTCTGCAGTCCGCCGTCAATGTACAAATACTGCACGACTCGCGTCTTGTGTCTGTTTGAATTTGTGTTAGTCAGCGAAATGAGTTTCTGCGAAAAAAATGTGAACATGGTCAGTGTTTGCATACAATTGAAGTTGGATGACGGTTCAATTTTGTCGCTGCTGGACACATGGCCGACTAAAAGATTCATGGAATTTATTAAATTCGACTTGTCCTTATCACAATGATTGATAAGTTCGCTCACTCAATAAATAGTTGATGAACGATAAGAAGCATTTGATTGTACTGCTAAATATACATGCATACGTATATGTACGAACGAAGGAACAGATACATGGCTTCAGTTTAGAGGTGGATCAACAACTTGTTGGCGTTTATAACTCTGTTGTCGAGTAGTTCATGCCAATACGCAGAGTAAACGAGTGCGGGGATAACGATGAGATGAGAGTCAATTGACACACCAAAGTAATTACCAAATTCCAGAACAGAACAAAACCACGACTCAAAAAAAGAACAGTTTTCGCAGTCAAAGTCCAAATCGTTTCAATTCTGCGGAACTCTAGTATGACTTGAAGCCGTTGTTGTATGGGAACGTTCACATAAATGTCAAATTGTACACGTTTTTAACAATCCTTCTCGAGACATAAAGTTCCCTTTCGAGAATTCAGCCAGCCACACAACATCGCACAGGGTGTCCGTTTCTTGTTTCCACTATTTTCCCTGCCCTCCAACATGCTGCTCATAGTGCTCATGCATATGTAGCAAGTAACCTGTGTAGTAAGAGATCTGAAGGAGTGGACGACGTAAAGTACGAGAACAAGAACCGAGTACAAAGACAAACTCGGAGTCACTTAACTGAAAGAGCATTTCGTTTGGTTGGAGGTACATGTTATTGCTTTTCATGGATCTCGTAAACCCTGAGCGAGCAGAGAGAATGTATGTAACACAATCAGCTATTAGTTAGTTTGGTTAAGAGAGATCGACAAGTTAAATCGTCGCATTACATCACACACCACAAACAAGTGATCTCCATCCAACGCTGAATTATACACTCGCTCGCTCGCTGCATTATGAGATGACTCTTTCCAAAGGGAATACGGATGGAGGAGAGATGTGTGCAGTGGATACCTCGTTTATTTAGCTGCTGGCTTGACGGAGTCACTTTTTGGCTTGGCGTTGTTGTGTACACATAAAAAGCAAGGGAGAGTTAAAGTTGGTGTTAGTTAGTGAACAGACCTGCTTCGATCCGCACACACCAACCTTGCATTACAGATTTATTTATCAACCAACCACCATGCAATGCACTTGCTTGAGTAAAAGCAAAAGAATTGTCAAAGGAAACACGGTGGATTATTTGCATTGATTTCCTCTCTCTCTCCAAGTTTGTTTTCTGGAGGAAAGTTGTCCCGTAAATCGGATGCCCGTCCAGCTTAATGATTGGGTTGCATCATAAAGTAACCACCGGACATTATTACTGTTATTATTGGGACGCAGCCTTCTGCCCTCCTTGAAGTAGGGGTGGAATGGAGTAAAGTAAAAGTGAATGTGTCCCATAAAATTGGTGAGAAGAGGATTGTCCGTGATCTGAGAGCCTCGCAGTGACTGTGGGTCGACCATTTGACATTTGCCTGAATGGAATGCAGTTGAGATCGAGAGCTGGCTTTTTTCTCGAGCGAGTGGACAAAGAGTGACTAGTGAGCCCTTACACTAAAGTGGGATGAAATTGGTCATTGGATCCGGATCAATTTGATTTGGTGGACTCAATTGACATGACTCTATCCAGTCCAACGTAGTAGCAGCGGTTGTATGATTGGGGAAAAGTGCGTGCACTTGTTGTGAGCCACGACGACGACGATGACTCTTGGTTGGTCATTAATGATCAGAGGATTAGCTCTCGGCCGAAGCGATCCAGTTCTTTATTTCTGGGATAATAATACCACGACTGCTGCTTGCACTGCTCATGGTCATTTTATGACTGCAGTTGGACTCCCTACTTTTCCGATGGACTTGGCCTCGTTAATAATAAATCCTCGCGTCCTCATCCCATTCTCATGACTCACGCCATGCCATTTTCTGCCCAGACGTGAACCTTTTCAGAATTCCGTCCGAGTGCATGTGGTCCAGATTCAGTTTCACGTCTTTCGTGTGCATCTAAAAAAAACTCTCATTTTCCGTTCACACGGTGTTTGTTGACTGAGACTGAGAAGGACACTTTTTGTTTTCAATTACTAAAAAATTACGACGTGTTTTCTTGCCAATATATGCAAACTATTTATTTGTAAGTTGATACTTTTGAACGGCCATGTCGGCTGGTGACGACGTTAGAAAGTGGAGTCAACTTACGTTCGGAGCATAAAAATAAGAACAATCCGAACCTACTAAGCTGGCAGCTGAGAAAGTTATGTAACAAGCAGCAAGGTTATTGCTTGGTGGCAGAGTGACTACGACGACGACATCGTGGAAATAATAACAAAGAGTGGAATGGGCCCATTGTCCCACTTCTTCTGGACTCCATGTAAACACAATTAGCCATTTCACGATTCGGAAGGCCAAACAATACCACGATTCTTGTTACCCCGCCCTTGAACTCTCGTGCTCACAATATTGCAAACAGAACAGTGAACCCCACAAATTGCCCGATTTCGTGTAGCGATATTTTTCTGTGGTCGCGTGCATCCGAGATTTTTCAGTAGTGACGGATCATAATCGTGGCTATTGCGAAGACGTTGTTGTATTAAAAAAGCTGTGTAGCCCTACTCGTTGGTGGACAGGCGTGTAATAATCTTTAAGCTAATGAAGTAATTGTCCTGTCCCATTGTTATTAAAATTGCTGATTGTTGTCGCAACCTGGTCATTAAAGTTTACAACTTATCTTGTCTCAACCAAGTGATTCGTCCACCTCGTTCTCGCAGCCACCACCAAAAGGACGGGAGGAGACAGTTTTCTGCTCAAGATCAAGATAAACATATAAAAAAACGTCATTAAATAAAAGCTCTTCAAACACACACAAGGTTTGAGTCAAGTCGTCAAAGCAGAACTCCAACTTCCAATCAAACCTCCTGCCATCGCCAGACTCCGCAACGTTGCAATAACTCCTGAGCTCCCTTGATTGCTCCGTGAGTTATTCGACGAGGGGAAGATCACTCGAGGAAAAAGTTGAAACAAAAACTTACTCGGCTGCTGCCTCCATTGTCATACAAGCATCAACTAAACGCTGTGCTCTTGTCCATCAATTTGTGATCAGCATACATTAAAATGAGATAACTTTTTTATGACCCGGGCCAATAACAGCTAAATACGCTACACACGATATAATTTTGTATGGATGGATGCAGTGGTTGGTTTTTCCACACCTTGCTGCCAAGAAGACAAGGCAATGTGCGAGGCAATGTGATACGAACGGGAGACTGAACGTGATCTTTTGTGCTTTTATTCGCCTGCCCTCGTACTTTTCTTGCACTTTTGAGAGGCTAGGAGTGAGGCGAAATATTTAATTAATTGGTTGATAATGGAGCACCACGGGGGGATCGTGCTCATCGTCTCGCTCTTGTTCCTCCTGTGTGGTCTCGTGGACGCCGACGACCACTGTAAGCCATATTCCTCACCATTCTTTGCTTAACCCCGAGACCCCGCTCACCATTGATCATTGAACACATTCGAGCGCCTACGTGGTTCTTGATTTTATTCGTGATTGTCACTCTCTCCCCATCACGTTTAGAGGCTCACATTAATTAATTTGGTCCCAACGAAACCAAATGAACTCAAAAAAGTTGTTTCAACCATTTATGAAGGATAATAATCTGTGTGTATTTACGTATCCAATATTGCTCTGGGTGGGTTGAGCAACACATGCAAGGCATTTACATAGGCCACAGTCTCAAGTGCACTAATAATGTGCGGAATTGAGCCGAGTTAAGTAACTTGAGCAGAGTAATTTAATGTTGGAAGTCGCTTCGTGAAGTGAAGTATGTGTGTGTACATTTAAATAAACTTTGTACTCAATTACATTAATTGAGAACAGCACAACCTCCTTTACAATTGCTGTTACACACTCTTGGCCATGAATACGACGACCATTAATAACGAATGTATGCAGTAGCATTGTTGTTCCTCATCAGCACTTATTACTCCTCTTTATTATTGTTACCAGGAAAGAATGTGCTGAATTACACGACTAGGTTTTAACCATCAGTAGTTTCTAATCTGTAAGTTATGGCTGTGGCAGTTTTGCATATTATTTCATCCGGTTCCTTATTAGCCCTCGACACCATAATCCAAATAAGTCACGAGCATCCTCATGGAACTAGGAAAACAATTGCATTCTGAAAATATCAGTCAGTCTCTGGTTTGGCTACTCTTGATGATGACAATGTCCTCCTGCCCACGCGTATGCATTCTTCGTACTCGCGCAGCAACAAATTTCCAATCGAATCGATAAAACGAGCTGATGAGACTCAACTCTGGGCTCTTCTGGTTGTCTGGCGAATATCTGTGATCAAATACATCTACGACTTTCTGCCACTTAAAATGTTTGCAATGTGATGTCATTCCCAGTCCTTGCATTACTGGCTGAACCAGCATCTGCATCTTCACATGGCGAGGAGAAGAACGTTGGAAGTGAGAAGGTCGACCATTTGACAAGGCAGCAGATGATACACGGCAGACCTAAAGCAGACTCGTTGGCTTATCTTAAGTGGTCTTCTCAACACTAAAGACATGTGCACTTCTCGTGGTCAGGATTCCCGTAACACACGTTCCGTAATAAAAAGTGTACATTTTATGAGGCGTATGATCTCATTTTGCGAGAAGTTCACGGGAGAGAGAGAGATATGTAGAATTTTGCGAATCGTACAACAATGCAAGGTTGGCATCTGTTACGTACCGTAGTTGGCAGTTGGTCGCTATGTTGCAGTCCTATCACAGTCCTGATTTCTCTCTGTAGGAGTGGAGATAAGTACTTATGCATTTTATAAGGCGTGAAGATGTGAGCACGGATTTCTGAATAATAATGTCGCATAAAACGTATCAAAATGGCACAGTTTTTTGTTTCTTTGGCCAACTATGTAGCTGGCTTCTTCTCTCTTGGCCTGCACTAGGGATTCCAATCCCGGACGATTTTTTAAATCCCGGGAATCGGGAATCCCGGTTTTAGCTGTACAAAATCCCGGGAAATCCCGGGATTTTTTCCCGAAATTCAAAAATTACTTCATAACTTTAAATTAGTCAAATTCGGGTATACAATAAGGTACATGACTTTAAAAAGTACAGAATATTAGCATATTTATAATACTTATGCACATGCATACTTATGTTTTTTCAAGATCTGCACATCCATAAGTATTATTATAACATATGGAATTTTCTGGCCTTCTTAAAATAAGTATGATAGAAGTACAAATTAGGGATTATATAGTGGTGTGTCTGCTTGTAAATGTAAAATTTCGGTGCAATTTGATGCAATGCAATGAAATGCTTTGTCTTGGAGAGGTGATAAGAAAAATTTTGAAAATTTCATTCCCGAAAACTTAAATAATTAATCAACAATTTGCCAGCATTTTAACCTGACCTGAAATGCATAAATTTACGTTTATTATGTGGGTACCATTATAAAAAAACTACAATTGGACAATTCCAAAATTTCAAGTTTAAATATATGTATGAACTACCTCGTTCATTCAGCCTTAAATTGATCGACTAAAATTCGAAATTATATTTGTATATTTCTAACATGTTAGCTTTTTTGAGCATATGTAACTGATTTCAGATTCTATAATTATGTCCTGGGTAAGGTTTATTTCTTCCTTTAATTTTAAATCTGAGATCGAAATTAGAAAATTTTCATTTTCATTTTGTATTACAAATTCTACTTGCGAACTATAAGAATTAAGGTGCGTTTATGCTTCACGTATATAGATATAGATATATGTAGGGCATATAAAGAAATGGTTTCCCGGGAATTCCCGGGAATAAAATCCCGGGACTGGAACCCCTAGCCTGCACTCAAAGTGGCAAAAGTCACAAGGAACGTTATTAACTGAGAAGGAAGGAATCCATGCGAAAATCACGACCAACGTCGACGAAACCTAATTTATTGGTTCCACACACACACACACACAAAGGCACAATGGGCCATATGCAGATATTCTCCCATTCCGTTTATGATGGAACGTTTAAAAGTTTTATTTATTTGTGGGAGTTTTAATGCCAGCTTTAATCCCGTCAGCTAATCTCTCTCCCGAGCAACTTGTGTTATTATTGGCTGCCAAGTCGAGTTGCAGATATTTTGCTGTCTGCATAAAAAGTTGGATGGTGTCAAACGGATTTAATTTAATGGTGATTATCAACAACCGTCTACACGCAAGCGGGCCAGAGGACAAATGAACATTTAAGTTTTTTGAGGGATTTAATGGGGCCAATTAATTTCTTGAAGACATTGTCGTCGTATTTTGATCCCCATGTTCTTCAGTTGTTAACTCGCGAGTCGTATTCCTTGGAATTTATGTTCCGGACATGATAATGGTCGTTTTTGTCCATTAATTGAATTTAGCAATTTGTGGTTACAGCAGAGATTAACATTTGCCAATAAATCAGGCTCTTTTGTTTCCCTGAATATTTACCAGTCCCATTCCCATATTTTACACGGAACGACAGGAGACGTAAATTGAATTTGTCTATAACATTGAGAGTTAATTGAAATTTAGCAGCATTTTGTGGATACATAATCCCGTCGTCGTCTTCTTGAGTTCGACAAGTGCTGAGAGGCTGAGATTTATTATGGACGCGGTTCAAAGGGCACGCTTCGTGCTTCGTGTAAAACACAATTGTTCAATCCTGACATCAAAGGGCACTTGGACACCAAGGGTTAAACCGGTCTTAACCTGGGGCGTGGTGGCTGGAGTGGAGTCATATAATTACATCGTCACCTCTCAAAAAGACCAATCCTTGGTCCGAGTAGTGCTGCGTCTGTAATTTCCTCCCCGATTGACCTCTTCCATCCCCGCATAATTTTTAGTTCCGTCCACGATTGTGACACTCGTCACGTGACGAGAACTCTTGCATTTTCTCCTCAACTACATTTACTCGTGTCTTTGTACGATGTGTGTAAAGTGATCCTGGGCCGGATTAAATGATGAACTTGATCTAATCGCGTCAGAGAATGCGGACAAGACAGGTACAAATGGTCTGCACAAACAAATTGATGGGTTGTGTCGCATGTAGGACAGGCGTGGAATCAAATTGGCTGAGACTCTCTCTCGATCTTCCTCGATGAAGGAATCGTCTGTTGGTTTGGCAGGTAGACAAGATTCGAACAAAAGTCCCGAATTTGACGGTTGGCCACTCAACCGAGGGCTGAGGAGATAACCTTCAATTTTCCAGTCTGCCTCGTTACATAAGAACATGGTGCAAATTCAGGACGTCTTGTTTAAAGTACATGCAGAGGACGCGTATCAAAAGTGATATGAGCTATAAAGTGTTGCATTCGGGGAAAAAATCAGGTTTGTTTTACTGATTGTTGTTAACCACTCGGGAATAAAGTAATTACTGGTTACATAGCATCACATTATTATTCATCCACACAACGAAGCCCTTCTCTCGCAGCCCAATACGTAAACAATCGCTTGGAGCAGTACTTTCAGCTCAAACGCTGCATGTGTAAACATACATTTGCAATCTGCCATGCAGCTATTGAGTGAGCGAACGAGATAAAATTCGTCAGCTATTTTGAACTGCTAATAAATGTTGGTGATTATGCATGTATGTATTTGAGTCTGTGTACGTCCATGTGTACATTGCGTAACCGTTTCTGCTTGATCTTTCCATTATCGCTCAGCCACAGATCTCTCTGCTGGCTGTGTGCACGCTGTTGAAGGGAATACGGAACATTTGGCTGGATGCATGCGGATGTGGCGTGTGTGCGTAAATAAGCTACGCTACTTAAATATTTGCATTAAATTAATGGCTCCACACACTCCTCCATTACGCAGAGGAGGAGAGAGGAAGCTGCTCAATTGGGTGCAACCATAATAAATTATTGCAATGGGATTAATTGCTCCTGGCGTGTTCCTAGTGCACTCTGCTGCATCCAATAAATATGTATACGCATATCTGTACGCATATAAGAATCTCCACACGCAATCCAACGCATCGACCAAGTAATCTTGGCTAATCTTTCATCCACACATTTCAAAACATTCGAGCTGACACAACTGTTGTAATCCAGATCGTTTCGTTACTCCTCGATGATGTGTACATATTTATATGCTGCTTTGCTGCATATTCACATATTTACATACGCATGGGGTAGAGTTGCAAGAAGAAGCGGGTACAATTGGGATTTGTAATATGATTCGTTTGTTGTGATTAGTGGATAGGCTGAATGGTGCAAGCGTTCCATTTGACTGATTTCACTGGGAGGAATGTGCGTGTGGATGTGTGTAAAGGACACGGATGTGTAAATTTGTAGAGGAGGAGGGCTGAGAAATTTGCTTGCAATGTTTGAGCACGTGGCTGACAAGGAAGAAGAAAGGTGCAGGAAGAAAGTGTGCACCGTATGTAATTCCAAATTTACAATGTAAATGCAATATGT